ATAAGTGATAGTTTTTAATAGATTAAGTAGGAGTAATTCTTTGTCAAAACATATCCCATTACATTTATAATCTAATCTTCAAATCCCCATGTGACTCTTCTCTTGATAGATCAAGGGAAAACAGTAAAATCAAAGTCAAAGCACATTCAAAAGTCTGAACAGCCTTAACAGCACCTCCCAACTGACTCCAAATCAGGATGAAAAAAATACAACATGGAGAAAACTTTAGAAATATTAGCACTATTCTACTCAGGCCCCATTTAAAGAAGTTTGCTGGAAAAAATGGGAGCAAGGCTGTGTCAGGTAGATCTGTCCACCAATACTACGCACATTGCTCAGCACCTCTAGATAACAGCCAGGTCAATGGAGAGAGACTCCGTTGCACGTGCAGCTGTATCAGACAAAATCTTGTGCATATCAGAGCATGAAGCCCCCTCTCTGCAGGAGTCCATGCTTTCCTGGATGCTCTGTCAAAAGCAAGTGAATGAAATGGCAATTGTAGAAGAAATGGCTAGCTTTGAACCACCTTCTCTAGTCCAAAAAGTAGCAGCTAGTTGTACTTAAAAAAACAAACCCACAGCCGTTGGCCATTAATTTCTTACCTCGGTGCTTAAAAAACTTCTTAGGCTAAAGACAAAGGGAATCTCTTTGCACAACCATAACAATATGATGACCAAGACATTTCCCTTCTGGTTCTTTGCAGATCAACAGTGGAAGAAAAGAAACTGCACCAGGGGAGCATTCAATGTCATTGCCACAACTGGATCCATGAAACTGCAAAAAAGGACAAACTTGACCCACAAGGTGCCCTGAGGGTGTTCTCTTGTGGGGTGAGAGGGAAAAGGGTATAAGGCTGGTTATACTAGAAAAATTCAGATGTTGTTAGATCTTGTGTGCCAGTAATCCCCCACTCCCATCCCCAATGTTATTTTCTTCCCAATCATCTCTGCTTACAACATCATAATATAGCAAGGTTGGAATTTTCTGCTATAAATCTGTTCAACATTAGAACAGAATGGTTTAGTATCTATATGTAGTTATTTATTAAATTTATACCTTGTCTTTCCACTTGTATAAATACTCAAGGGTAAATTACAACACTTAAAAATACAAAATATAAAACATAGAAGTAAAAGCCACATATTTATAATCAAAATCAGTGTATCCTTAAAACAATGAATTCAAACTTGGAGCTGTATAAGAACTTCCCCAATGTGGTATCCTCCAGATGTGTCAGAGCTGAAGTACTTGATTGTGTTGTCTCAGAATTATGGGAGTTATGAACAAAACACATCTCAGTGGCACAAGGTTGGAGGAGACATTTTTAGATCTAACGTTGCCTCTCAGTCTCCTGATGGGCATCTAAAGGATAGGATCAAGTTGAAAAGCATGGCTTGTCCTAGTCATCTATGGCCTCAGCCCTGTTGCAATATGGAAAAATAATAATGCTGGTTCATATAACAGGTTTATTATAATCTGTTTAGTATACTTTTATATCACTTCCTCTATGAAAACATTGAACCTTATACCCACTTTTAAAACACAAAAATAGTAATTGGGGCCTCTTGACTATCCGGGGAGACAGCATTCCAGAGGACAGGTGTCACCACAGGGAAAGGCCCATTTGAGAATAACTGCAAGATGCCACTCTGTAAGTGATGGCACAAGAATGTTTTGCTAAGTGTCTGAATTGTCCAGGTTTATAATGGAAGACTATTTGGTACTTATCCTATTCTAGGTTTAATCCCTATATGCCAAATGGAGAACCTGGAGTCTGACTCCATAGCTATTAAGCAGTCAATGCAGTTGCTTCAACACTTGTGCAAGATGTGCAAAGACAAGTACACATTTAGTAGCCTGGGTCAATTTCTGCACAAGCCAAGCTACTTACAGAGTAATACCAGGTGCTATTTCAGCCTCATAGAAAGCATGAGTAGCTTCTAAATGTGAGGTTACAGGTGCATAAACAATAGCAAAGCTTTCCTTGTCCACTAAAACATGCTGCTGATATACCAGCTGAAGTTGCTAATAGGTGCTTCTTGTCACAGAGGTCACTGAGGTCTCCAGTGACAGTGATGACTATATGAACATTCCCAAACGATATACTTGTACTTTCTGAGGGAGTGCAATTTAGAACAGGCAAATTCCTGTTTTTTTGTTAATTGGGAATTATCTGCCCATAAGGCTTCAATTTTATTACACTTCCACCTCCATTTATTGCCACCATCCAGCCCATCACTACATACAGACACTATGACAGACCTAAATTAGCTGCTATCCAGCTGGAGTCCAGGAGGATGCCAAGGTTAAAGGGGCACTGAGAGCAGAAGCAGGATCAACTGAGTCATGTACCCTTTGTCTTCTCCTTTGTCATCTGTCATTGTTTCTTGGAGCATGTAGATGGATGACTTTGAATAACATAAAATGCACAGCAACTACTAAATATGATTACTCTAGCATGCAAATAGATATTCATCTTCTGATCAAGCCCTAAATGAATAATAGACAACTTGTGGCCCTATTTTAGTTTTGATTAAAAATGCAACATGCAGAATTGCAAGTGACATCACTAGCTTTTCCCACTAGTTGATTTACTAGGCATTCCCTGGCTGGTGGAGAATATGTTGTTAATGGCAGCAGAAAGTCACAATCCTTGAGTAGGAACGCTGGTCGAGTAAAGGAAATCTGTTGAGCTGTTCCTCCCACTCCTAAATGCATATCAGAAAATATTGTGGAACTACATTCTCTTTATTTGAACCTCTGATTATTTGAATGTTTTAGATTCCTCTCTCTCCCCTCCCTTCATCTTTTGGTTGAAATATTCATATGATAATATCTAATGCTGCTTTGTTCTAATAGTTTTCAGATTCTGGTGGCAGATTCTGGGAAGAGCTTTCAATTAATCTTGATCATAGCACAAACTTTTCTAAGTACTTGGGGCATCAAAGTGCTAATTTTTCTGTCACTGATCTGATAGAGGAATTGAAAATAGAGGACCTAAATTCCCTCCCACTGTCTGCAGCATGGCTGCCATCAACAGAAAGTCACAACGACATTGATATGGAACCCACCAATGATCTCCAAACAGCAAATGAAAGTTTTCATACAGAGATGATGATAAATCTGCCTCAAAGATATTCAAGGACCTCAGAACTTTCCAAAGGGTTGGGAACTTTTACTGATGCAGCAGGGCTGATATCTGATCACTCCTTGCTCATGGATGTTGAGTTTTCAGAATCTACAGGACTGTCATCAAATCCTGTGGTGACTCCTTTGCCCCAGCCTCTGCTAGCAGGATCTGATGGTGACATTGTGATGCATGATGAAACAATGATCAGGAAGTCAAAAGGGATGCCAATTCTAGAACGGGTTGGGGAAACACTACGGCAAAAAAAGCTGCGTGCCACCCAGGCTTGAGGTAGAAAATGGATATTTGTTAATATTATATGTAATAGAACAACAGTGATGATATGTGGTGGGTAGAGCAATGGAAGAAAGAAAATATTTGTCTAGCTTTAGCTCCTTCCTTTTCTTCTTGCTTACATCTCTTTTCTATGTCCCTTTGTAAGTAGCAATCTTGTCCAATCTTTTGTGTTTCACAGCAGGCGTGTAGCTGGGGAGACCCCTACATTTCCTTCAGTCCCCATCCAAATTTTTCTGGATGACAGAAAGCAGAAAGCAGCCCCCTTTCCCAATTCTTTGGCTGCCACACCCTGAGACTTTTGAACTAGCTACAGACTGTTCCAACTGTCTTGGATAATACTTCTAGTCATGCCTGGGGATGATGGGAGTTTTAATCCCACATAATTGAACAACAGTAGGTTGGGGAATGTTGAAAAAAATACTCAGCCACATGAATCAATAAACTGACTTAGCAATTGGGTTTCACAACCTGCTTAGTCATGACATAATTTGGCTTCAGGTGAAGCCAAATTATGAAGCTGAATTGTTAGCTAAATTATGGTTAAGATGGAGCATCGTAAGTATAATTTGTAAACATGGCTGAGCCTTCTACCATCCGTACATGCGCAGTTGTTATTAGAACCCATTTTTCCCAAAACGTATGGGAGGAAAAACCAAGTGTTAGCAACTGATGGCTGCAACAATGGTTGGGATTCTGACGGATAGGAATGATCATGTTTTTGTTTTTAATGAAGTCTGTCATAACAATTAGAGGTCTCTTACTTGTGATTTATACTAAATTGGACCCAGACTGTGTTTGCATCCTCAGAGGGAAAACTCCTGTGGTAACAAAAATGTGCACATCTCCATTTTTAACCCACACTCCTCCGAGCACATATTTGATCCAAGGTTTCAGACTTACTGTGGCATGCAAACTCAAAATGATGCATTCTTGGATTCTTTAACCCAAACTCTGATAGCAAACTTTGGGTCACATGAAGATGGTATGAGTATTTATGTTGAACATGCTGAGTACAGAGAACTTTCTCCATCCATCCTTTTTCTATGATCTTTCTTCTTGAGTGCAGTTTTACTGTTAGGAAACACCAAAGCTCTGCGTATTACTAATGCTTTTAATTTTGTAGCAATGTGCTACTGAAAATGGCTTATTGTCTTGCTTTTCATTTTTGCAGTGATGCTGAAATGAATCACATGGCTCCTTTGGAGTCTTTTCTACTGTCTGTTAATGCTTTGATGAGCATAAATGGATTTTCACAGCTTCACAAATAGACACGTTTAAAATAGCTTCAGTAAAATAAAACGTAAGTTGGGGAAGAAGAAATGTTTTAGCTGAGTTTTTGTGTATGTATGTGAAAATGAGATTAAACAGACTGATCATTATAAGTTTGGATATTCTACACTGATTCAAGGCTACGTTTGATATATTTTGGACAATGTATTTGTTTAGACAAATACCTCATCTTTCAGTTCCACTTACACAGAGCATCGCTTAAAAACAGATTAACAATACAATCTAATGCAGATCTCTTTGGATACATGTTTTGCTATATTCAGCTGGGTAGGATTGCAATTTAAAAGTCAGTGAGTTAAACAGTAAAACTAAACTAAAAAGAACACAATACTAGTAGCAGTACAGTAGAATAAAACTACAGAGTACTATTAAAAGAGTTTTTTCTAACACAAGAGTAGAAGATCCCCTGCGCCAGAGAGCATTTGGAGACACCATCACTAAGAAAGTTCTTTTTGTGTGTGATTGCCACACACAATCACCTGGTTTTGTGGGAGAGGCATCTGAAGCAGAAATCAGAGAATGAACTTAATATAAGATAAAAGGGAGTTAGGGAGATATTCTGCTATGGGTTTAGCCACATTGCAGTGTCCTCAAAGTTGCCTACGAGTGTACTATGGCAGAAGGGAGTATGGAGGCATGCAGTTGGAAGCAGCAGAATGCTGGAGGAGAAAGATCAGGGAAAGAAAGAACTTCTATTGTGATTCACATTGGGGCACAGTGCTTTGGGAAACTGGACTTCCCTCATGGCTGCTGGACCTCAACAAGGCATAATTCACCAAGAACAGATCATTTACAGTTCCTTGAATAACTTATAATGATAGTTAAATAACACCAGTCCAGGAGCCTTCTGAGAAAAGTTTGCAGTAGCCTGCAGGAATGGAGTTTTTACCCCCTTTCCACAATCTGCTGCTGTCCAGATGTGCTGAACTACAATTTGCTCCCTGCCCTGCCTGGGGGTGTCTTGGAAGCATCTGGTTGGCTAAGGTAGGTGGACTTTTGCTTTTTTATAGCAGAGGTTCTTGCATATCACTTCATTCTAAATGACAATTTGTATCTGCGAACATTCCTTCTTGCAGTTACAGTTAAAGATAGAAAATGTACCACATGGGAAAAAGATTTAGTCCTTCTTTCAATGAAGACCTTTGCCTGGGAACTGCAGCCAATTTGAAGTTAGGCAGATAAATTATTTAATTGTCAAGAGAATTTTTCAATTAACATCAGAAGTAACTTGAGGGAGAAAAGAGGTGGAGGAACATTTTCATGCCTTTATTGATAGGATTCTGGACTACACGAAATAAAAATCAGACTGAGACATTATCAGTCCAATGTAACTGTTGTCAATTAGAAATGGGAATCATAATCTGCAAGGGCCCATGAAAAAATTTCTACAGGTATTTGGTTAATGTATTCATCCAAAGAATACTCTCTATAATGATGGTATTTGTCTTCTTAAAGACATAACATAAAATGAAAAGGGATCATGAAGGAAGGAGAAGAAGAAAAACAAAAGCATGGGTCTTCAAAGAGGTCATGGAGTGGAGGGAAGCATGATAGGAAGGGCATCTGTCTCCTCCCTCCTGAATAGGTTCCATAGTGATAGAGGTGGGAATTAAATTATCTGGATTCAGGTGAAGGCTAGAAGGCTCCTGTACCTTTCAGGGTAGAGCTAGTGTCTTTTTTCAGCTTCCCATGAAAGAGATGAACAGCAGTACCAGCTGAAGTTCACTGTAAGGTTCCAAGAAGTCCTCTTTCCCTTTACATGTGCCCATTTTGAACTCTAGAGCTTTCCAAAAGGAAGCACAGGTGCAGGCACTTAAGATAATAAGGCAGGAAGGCTAGTGAGACTGGAAAGAAACAACATCTGCAGGAAGAAAGAAAGAAAGAAAGAAAGAAAGAAAGAAAGAAAGAAAGAAAGAAAGAAAGAAAGAAAAAGAAAGAAAGAAAGAAAGAAAGAAAGAAAGAAAGAAAGAAAGAAAGATGGCAACCTTACAGCAAAGGAAGCGAAGAAGAAGAAAGACACAAAGTAGGAAACTTGTGGAAGGTAAGTGCTTGGTGCCAGACTGCTTCCTTTATATATATCCAAGAGCACCCTCTGTGACTGAACCCCTGGAGAGTGGTTGCACCTGCTTGGGGTGTTCCAGCCTTTGGGCTGGTTTCCTCCCCAAATTTGGGGGCTGCAGTGCCCAGCCTGCCTGGACAAGGGCCAGGCATTTGACTTGCAATGCTGAGGCCCCAGCCCAGGAAGGCAAAGTTAAGTGGAGCCATGAGTAAACTTGGCATATGGCCGTTTTGGTCTTGGCATGTTTCAAAGGAGTTTAATCTTTCCTTGGCCTAAAGATTGTTTTTCTGTGGGCTGATAATTACAAGTAATACAAAGTTATTCTAATGTTAAGGCTGCAAAATCTATCATGTGTTTATGTAGGAGCGAGTCCATTCTTTTGAAACTATATTTCTTTTGTTTGTTCTTCAAAAGATGTGCTTGGGGCTAATTTAGGCTTATTTAATATATTGCTACAGTTTTGGTTATAATAATTTATGTGTTGTATTTTGCTGCTTTTTATCATTGTTTTTAAAGTTGTATACTGGCTTAATTTTTTTTTACATGATAGGCAATACATAAATATTTTAAGATAGAAATGAAATAAAAACATGAGTCAGAGTTTGACTATTACATGAAATTAAGCTTGTGTTTCTTCTGCCTTCCAGTTGAGTCCATTGCTGTTTCAGGCTTTGGGTTAAGTAGTAGAAAGCTATGTATATATATGTGTGTAGCTGTATAATATATATGTATATGCTATATGCATACATGTATATGGGTATACATGTGGGCTGCAGACATCCAGATCATCATTAGATGGGAGTGTAGAAAACTCTATTTCCTAGCTTGGTTGCACATCAGTCATAACTGGGACTACAGAATAACAAGAGGAAAACATGAGCCATTAGTCTGAGGTGCTTATTTTTCTAACCAAATTATTTTCTATTCTTTTTCAATAGATTCGTGTGATTTAGTGAATCCAGAGAAAAAATCTGCTGACATAGAACGACTAGCTTACAGATACATGGTAAAGTCATTTTAAAATGCTGGTTTAAAAAACAAACTGAACTAAGAATTGACTTATCCTACCTGGTTTATTCTTAGCTTTAAGCGAATTGGTAAAAATTCTACAGGTCCACAAGCCTGTGGCTTGAATGAAGCAGCTGTCATGGGGCCATCTGCAAATGTAGAGGAGGGCAGGTAAGACCAGCCCCCTAAGTTATCTGTGCAATATCAAGCTCTCTTGCTACTTTTATAATATGCTGATGTTGACCTGCCTCCAAGAGTTAATAAACTCTTACCCTTCAAGGCCAATTCAGTGGCCTCCCTAGCTAACCTTGAATGATCCACAGAAGGTAAGCAAGGTTGGACCTGGTTAATACATGGATGGGAGACCTCTATGAAGTTGAAAAACTGGGGGGAAACCCCTTTTTCTTCTTATGGCCAGGGAGACTATATGGAGATGCCCACAAAGTCCTTAGGAATCAAGCTTGACTTGGATATCCCCAAAATATCCCTCCTGAAAGTTTAATTTGAGCAATGTTATACATGTCTGACCTCCCACCAGTTCTTTAGATGTGAATGGTGCACCATTTATTTTTTGAATAAATAAACATGGATGTCCTTTCCCCATTCTTTTGTTTGCTGGTAAAGCTGTTAGGAAAGTGCTTTGACAAAGTAATTTTTCAAAGTAATGGTCACATAGTCTGAAATACTGCCTGAATTCAAACAAATGGTAAGCTAGAACATGGGTTCCTAGTATGTGAATCTAACCAGCATAGTTGGTAAGTGATGGTTTTGTGCACCATATGAACCCACCCAAATATGTTTTTTGTTCAGTGAACTATGTTTAAGCAAATTTTAATGTGCTTTGGGATTTCAGCAATGGTTGTGTGACATCAGACAGGAATTTCCAAATGGTACTATTTTCTGTTGTTTAAATCTAGTCAAAATGACTATGTTAGAACATTGAATCAGGATCTTTAGAAATACTGTTATCACCCTTTGCAGTAAGAACTGATTAGGAAATGAGATTCAAGTCTTTGAAGCAAATAAAATTTCCCCTTTGCCTGACTTCTCTTTGCCTCTCCCTTTCACAGCAGAAGTGTTCTGTTGAGTCCAGCACTGACTCTGAATCTGATGCTAACATAGAGGTAAGATGTCCAGCTGATGGTTAGGGCGAGTTGGCTGCAGCATATCACCCTGTAGGACTGAAAGGGTGTATATCTCCCATCCAGTAACCAAAGCATAAAATCACCGCTGTATGAAAATCAATGGGTGAAAAGTGTTCCACCGATGTATTTGTTTTCTTGATCAAGGTTAAATCCCCCTTTGGGTTGGACATTCAATCATGGTTTTCCATACTTGCAGTCCAGAATTTATATAGTCCATTATTTCACCACATGCCACATTTAGCTTGTAGCTTGGATATATTCAAAATAAAGTCTCTAGGGCTGTATTTCATAGCTGCTTTAAAATCCATGGACATTTTTATTATTTTCTTATATTTTTATTATTTATTTTATTTATATTATTTCCAGACATCGTATATTGTCCTAGTGTAAAAACTATGCAAGCTGTGCTTTTACGTAGCCTGGTTATCTGGAAGAATGAGGTCAATTAAATGGCAATCTTGTGACCCCGCCTTTGCAAATTTGGCTAATAATGAACTCAAACAGATGTTCAAGAAATTTAGAGATGATAGTTAAATATGGTTGCTTTATCATAATGTGTAGAATAAATTACTGGAAATTATTAACATTTAGAGATGATAGTTAAATATGGTTGCTTTATTATAATGTGTAGAATAAATTACTGGAAATTATTAACATTTAAAAATGTGGAATGTTAACTATAAACATAGCCACCTATAGAATGTACCATTTGTTCCATACCCACCCACCCTTCCACTCCCAAAGAAGGAATACTGCATTCCAGGAGTGTCTACAGGGTCTGGTCAAAGTAGTCAATGGCAGTGCCAACAGTGCAATCAGACTTTCTCCTTTTTGTGTGTATGGCGAAGTTTCAATCACACCATTGCAGCTGCCATCTTGACCTTTTTGAAGATATTCTATGGACACCCCTGTTGCATACACATCTACACTACAAATAGACTTGCCAGGAAGCCCCAGTTCTAAGATTTGTTCTTAAGACAAGAACAAGTAGCAGGGGCACTAATTATTATTATTCAATTTTTTACAGCCCTATTATTTTAAACCTTCCAAAAGACATCTCTATAATATATCCAAATAGCAGAAAGCTTAGGATAAAGTGAGTGGGCTTGAATTACTTTATGCTGCTCAAAGTCCCTTCGGGTGAGATGGGTGGCCGTATAAATTTGACAAATAATAAAACTGTTTTGCACAAATACAGAGAGTAAGGTTGGTTACTGAATGTGCTAAGAGCAGTATATGATGGAAGTAAATGTTGCATGAAAATAAATGGGGTGAAAGAGCAAAGAGTAAGGCGGCTAGTCGTTTCACATAATCTGTGAAGAATGCTTGTGGTGATGTCAGAGGTGTATTGGTGGGGATGTGAATGTACACGTACTTTTGGGTACGGGTGATACTGGGTTGGTGACAGAGAACCTGAATGTTGGCAGTAAATTTTAGCTAGATTATATGAACGATACAGTGAGGAATCTGGATATGCAAATTAATATATGAAGGACCAAGGTAGCATGTTTGATATAAAAATGGAGTGAATGACTGCAAATGAAATGAAAACAGCTATCGTATGGTAGGGAGAGTTGGGTAGGTGAAGAGAACCATAGAAGTCAGTTGAATACAGCGGGAAGGAGGTACTGAAGAAATATGTGAAAAATAAGTGGGGGTTGAATGAATGCGGACTGATTACAAAAGTGAATGATCAGTATTAAAGATGTACTTGGAGATAGTTTGGTTTATAGAGAAATAATAAATGAAGATTAAACTGCAAAACAATATGTGCAAGAGTGAATGGGCTGAGAGGAAGAGAAAAAGAAAGTCTTGGTTAGATGGAGTTGCTAAGATCCTGAAAGAGAAGGAGGAAGTTTAAAGAACAAAAAGCAGTGTATGAAATGGTGTGTGGATGTGCAGGAAGCAAGGTGTGGAAGTGAATGTAAATTTCCTTCCTTCCTTCCTTCCTTCCTTCCTTCCTTCCTTCCTTCCTTCCCCCTCTCTCTCTTTCCCTCCCTCCCTCCTCTCTCTCTCTCAATTTCTTTGGCTTACTGTTTCTCACTCCAGTTTTGCCCTGTACATAACCTTACTTACATCAAAAGGGAAGATAGGTATGTATGAATTACTTTACCTGGGGCTAATCAAGGAAGATGATTGGATCAGCCTGGCTTAGAGCAGCGAAACTAATTATCAGTATAACATTTGTTTGAAGTGGCTTGTACTCCCTGCATGCTTATCAGGGACATCTGTAGGATATGGTAAAAAAAAGTCAAGATGGTGGCCACACTTGCCATACATAAAAACGACAAGAGGTTCCAACACGCCGTCATGGCCACCATCTTGACTTTTTTCACTATACCTTGTGGACATCCCTGATGCCTGTGCTGCAATACAATTATTTGCCTTTAAGATGCCACAACTGGCTTTGCTGCTTTTGGAGCATAGTTGGTAACCCTGTAACCCTGTGAAAGTATTTCTCAAAATTAAAAGGGTTCAGGCAGGCAGTCTACAGCACTCTTGCTGCGGACGTGCACGGGCTGCTCTAACTTGGGCTGTACAAATATCTGAAAGTACCTTGCCTAAAACAGGTTCTGTCCGTCAGCATGTTCACTGAAGGATCCCTGGACAGAAAAAGCCACACGCAGCTACATGTAAGTAGATTTTTGTACAATTCCTCTTGTAGGTGTATGCATTTGCAGAATGTTAATTTATTAGAGATGTATGTATAAGATAGTTTTATAATGGGCCTGGTACCAAAGGTTGCATGTGGTGATGGCCAGGCAGGCACTTTTCTGGGATGCTCTACTCTACTTTCCATCCTACCCAACATTTGTTTCTTGTACTGCGCAGCAGTTGGTCAGCATTCAGCCAAGATTCTCAAGCCTGAATCTTCCGTTCTCCTTCTCTACTTGTGTTTTCCTCCCATAAGAGAGTCTGTGGTTCTGCAAACAGGTTTCTCACCAGCCTGTTGCCGCCTCTTGTTTGCACGTGGGTGTATTACTTTGCTTACATATAGATGGGCTCTTGTAGAATTATAAGTCCTGTTAATGTGATGGTGAACTCTTGCTTCCACTATTCTGTTAGGAAAGATGATGCCTAATTGGATGACATTGAGGAACAGTCCCCGAATTTGGAAGCCAGTGGGCAAACAGGAATTTTGACACGACCTTAAAAGCACTTTCATAAAATGGTTGCCGTGACAGACATGGCTAGCAACAAAGTATCTATTTTCCTCAAGGCAAACTTCTGAGAACAAAGTAAAAGAGTAACTAGTAAGAATCTTGAATTCCAGATCCCAGAACTATTTTTTTGCTTTGTAGTTTTCTGCTCCAATATCCATTTATTTTACCTGGAACCTTGGAATATTAGAAATAAAGCTAGTATTTAAGGTTGTCCAGTTGGTTGGATCATGCCACTCTTGGAGAACACGTTAGATTTGGGATCAAAATGATACATAAAAGATGAAATTAGCAACTGTAGTTCTTTCCTTTTTCTGGCTAAGCACAGAATGTATGAGGTATATGGCAAATAAACAAACCAGAAGTTTTTTTGCTAATTATTAAGGCTGTGCAAAACATTCGAAAGGGATAGCTTACTCATGCCAGCACTGGGTGCAGCACATTGTGAAACATTAAAATAGCTGCACCCAGTAGAAAGTTCACTGCAGGCCTTCTCCAGTTATCTGTGGTGCAGGGCACAGTTGCTTCACATTGGTTGTGGTCCCAAGAAGTGTTGTCTTTCTCTATGGGCAGAACTCCTTTCAAATGCTTTATATGGTTTGAACATTATAATTCCCATTTTATCTGAACTATTAAAGTACAGGTAGTCCTTGCAACTGCCTCATTCAGTGACTATTCAAAGTTACAACGGTGCTGAAAAAAATAACTTTATGACCAATGCCTGCATTTACGACCTTTGCAGAGTCCCCCAGTTATGTGATCACTATTATAAACAGTATGCGTTTTTCTTTTTTCCCAGAGAAATTGGAGAGGAAGAGATTTACAAGAGAGTAAGCAGGCACACAATGTGGAATACACTTTGCATAGTGTGCTTGGGGCTGCTGGCGCCACCACATTCCTTTTGATGTGTGTTCCCTATTGTGTGCCTGTTTACTCTTTTGTAATCCCTTCCTCTCCAATGAATATAAATAAAACATTATTTGCCTTCTTGCTAATAATCCCAGCACTGGGCTCAGCATTCCACAGGGCAAGGGAGTGGGGAAAAGGAAAGCAGTGTCACAGTCACATGATTTCCCACTTAGTGACTGCTTAATGACAGAGCTGCTGGTCCCAGTTGTAATTGCTAAATGAGGACTACCTGTAGGGGTTAGTGCCTCAGAGTAAGACAGGCTATACTAGGGCAGCTGCAGATTATTGTTTGAGCTTGGATAAACCAAAACATCTAGTTAATGGAAACTGTTTTGGTTCTTCTGCTCCTCCATCAAAAGAGTTATGAAGAATTATGTACACACTCAAAATGATTATTTATTGCTGTTTCTCAGATGGAATTTTGTGAGTTGTAGTTCCAGTATGCTTGGAGAGATGAGGCTGCACCACTCTGATCTCAGATGTCTAATTTGCATAAATGAATGGCTATTTTTTATTTTTACATTTTTCTTACTTTTAATTGTAAGCCACCCAGAGTCATTGCAAGTTGGGTAGCTTACAAATTGTCTTTTTGTATAAATAAATAAGGGATGGCCAGCTGGCCCACCTGCTGAGTTAAATTTCCTTGTAGTGCAAATCAGAACACCCTTCTAGCATTTGGTACATTCCATTGATGCAATTACTTCACAGGAAGTTAAAATGCAGTAGAGGATTAATGCTTTGTTGGGTTCACAATCCATTTTTTTCTTTTAATATTGTTATTAGTAGAAAACTGTCATACTGATGTGCAATTGGGGGTAAAACACCACAATTTGTGATAGCTTTCAACAGGAGATTCACTACAAATCTATTACCATATTCTAGAAAAAGATTTTGAGGCATGACTCCATGCCTGATTTAAAGCTGTCTTCAATACTGCAGGTAAAAGATAATCTTAAGAAAGCGTGGGGGGAAAGTGAAACGTGCTGAGCCAGATTTTAGGTTACAGGGTGAACATGCATTGCCATTTCACCTGGTCCTACCTGGCTCTTCAGATGAAATGAAGTCAACGTATCGTGCAGGTCTGGAGCAGCTTTTATTCCCTATTTGCAGGAAGTAAACTTGGAACCATGTTTAATCATGGCTTACTATAATGGCTTAGTAGGTCTTCCAATCACTATTTGCATTGGGCGTAAAAGTAGTCTTTTCCACTTGGTGATAAAATTGAAAGGGGGAAAAAAACGTTTCTTGGTCTTGTTTTTCATACTATTGGCATATGAGTTATATGTTTAAAATATATCCTGCTCATGTAGAACTTAAAATGTGCTTGCTATAAACTGAAAAATATGTAACCATGTTTGTTGCTTTAGTTTGTGGACCCTTATGATGGAGACTATGAAGAAATCTCAGGCAACTCAGACTGTGGTTTGGATTTTGCTGACTCAGCACTGGTTTATCTTAGTCATCCTATCACAGAGGTACAGGCAAGAGAAGACAATCCTCCAGAAAAACAGGTGACCCTTTCCATATCACCACCCAAAATAGTTACCTCAAAGAATGAATCTGAACCGTTGCAGACTTCGGAACCAGAACCATCCTGGTTTGCAGGTCCAAATTCTGAAATTGCAACCTCTGAAGATGTGTTACAGCCCATGTTGACTGACTGTGACTACAAATTCTATGAAGATCTAAATACCAACAAAAAGCAAAGGCGATCTGCTCTAGAATGTGGAGAAAAATTAAGAAAAAGATTGCGGGTGATTTAACCTGTCAATGGACTCATTTAGTATAACTGAATGTGGAATTGGCTAGGGGTGAACAGGTACTTTATGCTGCTGAGTATTTCCATTGCAAAGGGCCCACAAGTGGCACAATAAATAAGATGGAGACTTAAATGTGCAAGTATTTTTTAACCTTCAAGTAAGCCACTCTTCCGAAAGAATACCTTCCAAGCAAGTCAGTATGAGAAATAAATGTTTATCTCATTCGTATTTTGAGGCTGAGGAAAAGGAACCTTTAGATTACTGTGAATGCATCAAGGGGGACCTGACTCTTTGTGTGCTGGCTGGTGTGGGTCTTCCAGGCTGTGTGGCCGTGTTCTTGAAGTTTTGTTTCCTAACGTT